CCCCAAAACCCCAAAACCCCATGTACACATTTATTTTGATATATTTGAGCTTAGATTTTTAATTTAATATAAAGAAATATAAAATAATTAAATGAAATTTTAAAGACTTTTAGGTATGTATTTAGTAAAATTATTCTTTTTAAATATATAAATGAATAAAAATTAAGAAGACTGCTATGTTGAAATGAGTGAGTATTTTTCAACAAAAGCTAACCCTTAGATTTCAAATGATATGAGAAGCTCACCGTTGATAAAACACACATCTTAAAATTTCTTTTCTTTGAAAAAAAATTTAAAACTTAGCAATCAATCCTCTAGCAAAACTAACTTTCAAATTTTAAGGAATAATCAGCTTCTGCCCATACAGTAAATAAATAAACCTTAAATTTAAACAAGAAATAATGAAAATTGTGAAACAGTTCAAAATACTTAGAGGCAAGATGAGAGTATGATTAAAAGGCATATTGAATAGGATATTGAACAAAAACTAATTGATAATGACTAAATAAGTAATTTATCTACATTTCAATTAAAGTCAAAAGGAAATAGGCCTGGAAATAAAAATTCTAAGCATAAAGAAGTAGGCCAAATTAAGATAATCAATGAGTCTTAAAATACTGATTAAGATAGAGGAAAATCAACACCTTGTTCTAATTCATAATATACCGAATTTAATTAGCATGTGGAAGAAATTGCTGAGAAATCGTATTTAGGAAACTAAAGTCAACCACAAATAAGGATAAGAAAGCGAATCTATAGAATGATCAATCTAAGTAAAGAAAATAAAGGAGTTTCAGCATACCATGAGAAGATAGATAAAAGTTTAATCAGTACAGTAAAAGATCAATAGCTTTTAATAACTGAATAATTTCACAAAAGTATAGTAAAAAATGGAGAAATGGCAATTGATTCAGTAAAAAAATAGAAACTCTGTCACAATAATCACAATAGATTCATAGATTTTAAGATGTGCAAGAACATGAATATGATAATAGAGTAGATTTGCTTTAGCCTAAGAAACATTGGTTTGCTTGTACTTTAAGGTATACTCATAAATTTTCTTGATGTTTTATAGAATACAGCAAGGATCTAGCCTCAATTGGAATAGTATAAGATTCTGGGAATCTATGTGATCCATATATATTATCTGAAGGAGAATAGAAAACTTTTATAGAGAATTTTAAATGCTACAAAAGAATACTTCTTTAGTTTACAAAAGTTGCAGTTGAGTACTATTGCTAACTAAACAATTTCTTTGAAAGAAAACCCATTGCAGACAGTCAAATGTAGCTAATATTGCTGCATTTGATGGTAGCTAGATTTAGAACTATTGAATTATTAGGACTCCTCTAAACTGATATTATTTTGAAAGTGAAATCAGAAACTACCAATGACATAGAAGATGAAAAAATGTAGAAAAAGAAGATAATAGAGACAGAGCAAAATTATTTTAAGAAAAGAGAGGAAATAGCAAAATTAAATGCTCTTGAATAGCAAGTACAAAATATAAATCCTTTAGATAAATAATCAAGATTAGGTCCTTAGGATGATAATAGTAATGACTAATAATCTTCTCTGCCCAAGATATCTGAATATAAAAATTAGGTTAATATAAAGGATAGATTTTCTAACTGTATTTTTACAACTAAACATTTTGCCAAGAGAAATATTGATATTCAGAGATGTTCATAGAAACAATATGATACTAAACTCCTATAAAATTGAACTAAAAACATTAATCGAGGTAGCCTTGAGTCTTAAGGCAATTATAACAACTCAAGGGCTGAATATGGGTTAACAACTAGCAATAAAACTCATTCCAGAATTAAGAATATGCAAATCTATGATACTAGTAAAAGTTAGGAGTTTTAAATAGATGAATATCACAAATACAAGTATAAACTATTTTAAAATTAGTTCAGAGAAGAGGATAATAGTGGTTTAAGCAATAACTAAATATATTAAAAACCACTAAGACATGCTCCAAGTGATTCTTCATTGAATATTCTTAGAATAAACTAATTTAGTTAGCAAAAGCACTACATGAAACAAAATTTAAAACATAATTAAAGATAAGTCGCTAAATTAAGGGATTTTTCTGAAGATTAAATAAGATAGAGCAATCAGAACGAAATTACTAACATGTCATCTGGAAATTGAAACTCATAAAGCAGTAGTAAAGTTAGTGATTTCTTGAAATTTTATGAGAAATCATAAGAGGAATAGTTTTAAAATAGGATGTTAATTGATGATCAGAGCGAGTCAAGAAAAGACAATAATGACAATGATTAATAAGACGATGAATGGATAGAAATTATAAATATGAGATATAAGAAGCATAATTATAACTATAAAGATTGATATTTGCGATTAAGGTTTGATGATATAATGAACTAATTCATCAAAACTCGTTAGAATTTAAATTTAAATTAAAACAATAAATATAAATTATATTTT